TGGGTCATAGTAGAAATACGAAATGACTTCTAACTAGTATAGAGTTTCAGTTTCTTTTTTTGGATATGAAAGTATTAAGACAATTAGTGATATGTGCACAGCCTTCTCAAAAAACTAAAAACCACTGAACTGTATACATTAAGAGTGAATTTTCATAGTACATAAGCTATATCTCAATTTTAAAAAGAAAAAAATTAAATTCAGGGTATGGACCACTGGACTTGGGATACTTCCTGCAAACAAGAGACAGTCAATAAAGTTAGCAAATGGTTCACACTGGGATTATCCCAAAAGCAATGTGCAAGTGTAAGAAACATGAAAAAGATTTTTAAAAGTATTTGCAAATGAAGTAAAGATAATTTGGAGGGTAGTGACTAATAAGTCTTTAACTTGAAACTACAAAAAGTAACAGCTTTCTTTATTCACATCTACCCAATACCCAGATTCCATTCAGCAGAAGGGTGGACACAAAGGAAATAAGAATCAAAAGAGAAGTTCAGAAGCACACCAAAGCCTCTCTGCTGAGCTTTCTGAGCCAGTCTGCAAAGCAGAGGGAAAAAAAATCTCATTATTTTATATATACCTTTATTTCCTACAGAAAATATTCTTTTACTGTTTCCAAATACCAAATACAACCTATAAAGGATGAAAATTTGCCAATACTAAGTGTACTTTAAGAATGAATATGCCACTGATTTTAGGGAAAGCCAAAAATGAGTTTTGTGCAAAAGTACAGCTTCCAAATGAGTGACCTTACTTAGAAGACACACTGCTGTGAATGACAATATTGTCTCTGCCAAGCTGAGTTAAAAAACAACTAATATTATTGTAGAGTTTTACAATGGAATCCTTAAATAAAGGAAACAATCTTCCCCTGAGCTAAGGAGAGAGGTGAGTTGCACACTCCAACTAGCCTAACAAAGAGACCACTTTTTAACCTGCACTAGAAAATCCAACAATTTATCTCTGTAAACCTATAACCTATACACCCCCTACATGAAACACAGACTGAAGATTAAACAGATAACTCATTCCAGTCCTTTTATATTTCTGCTTGTTTCACATGACAGGAACGCCTTTCCCATTTTCATCAAAATGAAGCAAAAATCCACCACCTTCTTCATGAAGCCTTCCTTCATCATCCCAGGCAATTTTTTTCACTTCTAAATGCCCCCAGAACTTGCTTGCATCTATCCTATGGCACATTTTGCCTTGCCCTGAATACACTATATTTTGTCTAATGACTAAATAGTTCTTCAAGGTTAAGGCAACTTCCCCAATATCTTTGTTTCCTCACAGTGCCTGATATACAACACATACGCTTAATAAATTTTTAAATAAAGTTCGTACTCAACTGCCTTCTGCTCCTAAAAACAGTACCAGTACAAGCAGCTAAGCAATTAGGCAAGTACTCAGAAGAGGCAAGTTCCCACAGACATTAAATACCTAATTTTCACTCTAGAAGAGATTCCATGCCATTCTGTGTAACTCCATAAGGCTAAAAAAAATGGCATTATTCAGATGCTTCCTATAACTGCTCCAGCTATAAGCATATTTGAGGGAATCAGAGCAATTTAAAATAACTCTGTTAAGTCAGAGACTCATCCAGCTATCCTTTTTCCAGCAAGCCAGAGCTAAGCTGAAATTATCACAACTTTGCCTAGATTGGGAAGAGTTTTTTGAGAATATACCAAGGATGAGGAGCAGCCAAACAATAAGTTACATCACATCACGCAGCAGAGAGAACCTCGATCTCCCCAGAATGGAAGCTCATTCTAGTCCCTGAGGACTCAATAATCAACTGGCTACCAAAATCCATCTTGATCATCATCACTGTCTGAACCTGCTAACTCCAATTCAACTAAAACTTAATAACAGAAACACCAACACCTCCACTTCCACCTCCACAGTCATGACCCTCACCTCTTTCCAAAAAAAAGGGGGGGAGGGTGAGTATTAAACTTTGGAAATGAGTGAGAATTCACTTGTAATCCAAAGACTGCTATAAATTAAATATCATCTAGAAACCAATGACCCTAAAGTATTAAGATAACCAGTCAAGAGAATCAAATAGAGGATTAACTGTTCAGAACCAATCCCATTAAAATAAAAGAGGAATTATTACATTTGCTAGTGACAGAGTTGCCTTTGGGATTGTATATAAATAAGGATCACTGCCACCTCTCTTACTCATAGGAAGTTAACACTACAATTTACATAGAACTGTCTTCTTAAAGAACAAAATTACATACAATAAAAAAGAAAATATGAGACCCAACTGATTTTAATTGGGATACTATCAACTATGTATTACTCCTCAGATTAAAATACTGATCTGCACTCTGGACTCTATAATCTCCTGAACTTTACTACCTTGAAAGTGGAGATTTAGAGTTAAAAAAATGCTTTTAAGGAAAACTGATAACCAGATTAAAATCCTCCCTCAAAAAATGAATCTAAAATTTGACATTCAACTCAGGTATTTACAGGATTTTATTAGGGAGAAAAATAAAAAATAAAAACACTTTGTCAAGCAGCAGTAACTCACCGCTAACACTAAGCAATGACTGATTTAAAAAGGCGGGGGGGGGCTGAAGCAAGAAGGAAGAACTCTAAGCAAACAATAAGATAAACAACCATCTAAACCAAAGCAACGGTAATTTAAGAAATCTATAGTGTTATAATTATCAATTTCATAATCTTTTAAAAACTAAAAAGTCCTTCTGAAAAAAAAATTTTAAAAGTGAAAGAACTAAAAATTCTTCAAAATAATAACAGGATTCTGTATTAACTCACAATTCTGAAAACTCATTAATTTCATGTTTCTCAAAACCTCTACATGCCTTATAAGGTCTCTCATATGACAGTTACAAATAATACATAATTTTCAAAGTGCTAAAGCTGATGTTACATTTTAGGAAATGTAAGATAGACTTCAAAGAATAAAACCAGCAGAGACAGAGCAGAGTAAATGATAACTGATAACCAAAAGGCTGATTCCTGAAGAACAGAGCTTGGATTAGTAGTAGCGAAAATTTTAAATATAGCCACAACACAAATTACGCCAAAAAATGGATTTATACCTTTACTACTCACACAAGTATATGTTTTAAAATGTCACTTTTAACCTGTGGACAACCAAAGTGATACCAGATACCTTAGAGCATTGTTGCCTATATTAATTTTGATTACAGTCTAAATCCTAAACAAAATTCACATATATTTTCATAATGAAACGCCGTCGAAATGGAAAGGTTTATATTCTCTAACTAAAAGTTAGCTCATTTTTCACTTGTTTAAAGTTTCAGTTTTGTTTTTCAATCTGTTACAGAAAATACCCCTTGCGGGACGTTGTAAAGGGCATACCCTCCTGTCAAGCCAGAAAGCTCAAACACAAAGACACTGAGCTAACCAAGTGCTGTAATTCTTCCAAACTGAGCTTCTCCACACCCCCCTCCACCCTTCCCCCCAACAGATATGTCTATTAAATCAGTGTCTGTTCTCCCCCTCGCACAACAAAGAGAACTTCTCACCGCATGAAATTGCCGCTGAATGGACACCAGAAAGCAGGATTTGCATAATTCCTTCCAACGAAACCCTGTCGGGAAGGAGGGGATGAGGGGCCCAAGCGAACGGATAGAATCTCCTAGATTCTGTTGGGAAGACCAAGATTATTCCCCACGGAGGGGTGGGGAGGGGTGGGGGTTCGAATTCTGGGTCTCCCCGAGGACTGGGCGTGGGGGACGGAGAACGACGAGGCAGCATTTCCCCACACATCAGCAGCACCGAAGCAAAGATGGGGAAATAACAATGCTGGGGGACAGGAGAGTCAGACACTGGACGCACCGGGGCTAGGGGGCGGCGGGCGGAGCGGAGACACCACACGGGCCACTTACTTTTTGGAGGGGGGTTAAATATATGAGTTAAGCCCTTATGGTCCCGCCGGCCGCCGCACAGAGGGAAACGGGACCTTGGGAGAGAAAAACAGACAAAACACACAGTGTGAGAGGCGCTGCTCCGCGCCCGGCCCCTCCCGGGGCGGCCCCGTCCACGCTCCCTCTGCCCGCGGGGAAAAGCCACCCGGGGCGGCCCGAGGTCCGGGAGGCGGGCGGCGGACAAGGCGCTCGGCCAGGCGGCGGCTGTGGAAAATCTCCCAGGAGCGGACAAGACCACTGCTCCGGCTTCCCGGTCGCACCCGGTCCCACCCCCCTTCCACCCGCCGCGCACACACCGAACAGAAATACACACACACACCGACCCGAGCGTCGAGGATTAACTCCCCGGCCGCTGCCGCCGCCGCCGCCCGCAGAGGAAGTGCAGCCGCTGCCCCCCGCGGCCATGACACCCCACTTGGCTCGGTCAGGCGGACCCGGGGCCTGTGACAGCTCCGGTTCCCTCCGCCCCCATCTCCACCTCACGCCTCGCACACGCCCGAGCGCCGGGCGCCCGCCCGCCCGCCGCCCGTGCACGCGGGGACAGGGGCGCGCGCCGCTGCCGCGCGTGGGGGAGGGGCTGCGTGGGACGCGGAAGGCGCCGGCCAGAGCGGAGCAGGAGGCCGAGCCGCGGCCCAGCACGCCCCCGGCTCCCGCGCTCGGCTTTGCGGGACCAGCGGCTGCGCCGCTCCCACTCCAGTGGCAGCGGCGCGGGGCGAGTCTCCACAATAAGCCGGCGGCGGCGGCGGCGCCGGGCCGCCGGGCAGGGAGGGAGGAAGGAAGGGAGAGAGAGGACAGGAGGGGCACGCGCTCCCGCCGGAGAGCCCGCCCCGCGAAGGGCGCGCGAAGGGGATGGGCCGGAGCGCGCGCTCGAGCCCGAGCCGGGAGAGCCCGCCCGGAGGTCGCGCGCGCCCGCACTCCGGGGGGTGGGGGAGGGGGACGCCCAAGCCAAAGAGGGCGGGCGGGCCGGAGCAGCAATTGCTCTGTCCCGGCTCCCTCCCTCCCTCCTCCGGGGCGGCCGGCAGCGGGGCGGCCCAAGGGCCGAAGGCTACCGGGAGAGGGTCTCACCTACACAGTGAATGAGCTTGTGGCGCCACGAGTCCAGTTCTTGCCGAAAGCCGCGTCTCTCAACGGAGCATTGCTGCCGCCTACACACCCTCGCCATCTTCTGCCGCCCGCCCGGCCCTGCCTCCGCCGCGGCCCCGCGCACGCCCAGCCGCGTCGCCCGGGGCCGCGCACGCACCCGCGGCCCGGGCGTCGCGCCTCCCGCCGGGGGCGGCGCGGGGGCAGGGCCGGCCTCACCTCGCTGTGGCCCCGACGTGGACCCGGGGGCGGCTTGGGCGCGCGCCCTTCCCGCACACGGCGCCGCGCGACCGTCTTTGCGGTGCTTGCTTCTCTGCCGTCTCTAGCTTCCCGCGTCCGGAGCTCGGCCCCACGAGCCTCGCGCCGCCGCCGCGCCGTCCCCCAAGGCCACGGCTGTCCCTGCTTTTCCCTTCCCGGTGCTTTTTGTTTCTTAAGTCAACCCTGTTTATCATTTTCAACCTGCCTATCGCCCGACACCAACTGTTGCAAGTTCTGTGTAACTGCTTCTCTGAACTTCTAGGTCGAAACTGCTCCTCCGAGGAGCCTGTTTAAGAAGCTGAATTAAGAATAAATGCCCAGATGCCCGTGGAGGCACTGAGCCCTAAAGTTTCCAAAGGTGAGAAGCATGCATTTTATTAGGTTATTGAAAAGCAGCCGGCATTCGTAAACCCAGTAAAAACTTGGAATCAAACGTCTTAAATTTTGAAAACTATCAGAAAGGCCGATCACGGGCAAAATTCTAAAGTTGGTGTATTCAGAACCTCTCCTGTGTTGTATGGAAGGGATTTTTAAAAATCGTGCTAAAGTGAGACTATTTCGAAAGAAGACTTAACGATAAGTAGAGCAGAGTGTTGGGAAATGGCTTAATATTTCAGGAAAGGACTCGAAGAGAAATATTTTCGATGGCAAAGGGAATTTGCAGCTGAAAACCTGAAATAATTAAAGCACCGTGTTCAGCGCACAACCTATTCCACTTAAACACGATGCTGATCTTAATTACTGGACTGTTACTTAGGAGAGAAAGAGAAAAAAGATGAAAAGGGAAAGAAAACTACAGGGGCAGGAGGAGGGGGTAGCAGAATGCAAAACCAAAAGGAAAAATAGTAAAGATCCCCCTTTACCAATAGGCCCAGTACCCTAGGATTCGGACCTCTTCCCTACCTTTGGAGTGTAAGATTAAGGATGGTGCAGTCCTACTTTTAGATATTTAGATTTAAGTTTGAAGACTTGATTTTAATTACTGTAGGAGGTAACACAAAGTCGTTAAATACTTGACATCAAGGATCCCATTGGTATATTGATTTTTACCTTTTCAAAGGCTATGGTCCTGATTCTCTGAACCAGGCACTTTTGGAGTGGTGTGTCCAAAGAGTTGGACTGGATGGGCCTCTTGAGTAGGAGGGGTTTGAAATGTATGAATAGAAAGGTACCTTCAGCACCCCCAAGTTTAAAACCATTGATTTTCCCACAATTCTCGAAAGTCCAGAATACTTCATTGACTTAAAAGTACGTCCACAGAACATGAACAAACTATTACGTCAGGACGTATTCTGCGTACATGAAACTATTCTGAGTGATGAGGGGACAAGACAGATGCAAGATAAAAGAGCTGTGGACAGCCGTCTTGAACGTGTGTAATGGCAAGACACCTTGTATCGCCAACCTGAAACTTCCTGTCTTCACCGCTAGGTGGTGGATTTGTCTTCTGTAGCTTTTAACCAAGTTTCTGTGGCTTCTGGAAGTATGTTTCAAAGTTTGAAATAAATGAACAACATTCAACTCTAAAGTGAGCTAATAATTAATATATTTTCCAATTACCCCATATAAGTTGTTTAAAAATCATCAAGTCAAGGGTATTACTTTCGCAACACAATCTCTTTAAGAGCCTGACATACAAATTTAAGAGGATCCTAGAGACTTCAGAGATCAACTCTAACATGAGATACAGATTCTGTAATTTGAGGTATGAAGTTGGAAGCCCAAATGAGTAACAGTTACTCCTCAATCTCCGCAACCCTTGGCAACAACTAATTTACTTTCTATCTCTGAATTTTCTTACTATAGATATTTCACATAAATGGACTCATATAGTTTGTGCTATTCTGTGACTGGTTGCTTCCACTGAACACAGTATTTTCAAGGTTCATTCATGATGCAACAGTTATCAATATCTATTTCCTTTTTATTACCAAACAGTATTTCATCCTATGGCTATACTATTTTTCTATCCATTCCAGTTGATGGATATTTTGATTGTTTTCACTTTAGAGGTATTATAGATAATGCTGCTATGAACATTTGTGCGCAAACTTTTGTACAGACATATGTTTTTATGTTTATTTTAGATATGAATATGTATGGGGATTCCCTGGTGGTCCAGTTGTTAGAGCTTGGTGCTTTCACTTCTTGAATCTGGGTTTGATCCCTGGTCAGGGAAGTAGGATCCCGCAAGTTGTACAGCATGACCATAAATAAATAAGAATATGTATTTGCTGGGAGAAATATCAATAACCTAAAATATGCAGATGACACCACCCTTATGGCAGAAAGTGAAGAACTAAAGAGCCTCTTGATGAAAGTGAAAGAGGAGAGTGAAAACGTTGGCTTAAAGCTCAGCATTCAGAAAACTAAGATCATGGCATCTGGTCATGGACAGGGAGGCCTGGTGTGCTACCGTCCATGGGGTTGCAAAGAGTCGGACACGACTGAGTGACTGAACTGAACTGAACTGATTTTGAAATAATCTCAAGTTAAATAGAAGTTGTAAGAACTCTTTACTTAGATTCCTTAATTGTTGATATCTTTCCATATCTGCTTTCTCTCTGTGTGTGTATCTATATATATGGTCTTGTTGTTTTGGTTTAGTCTTTTTAGAACAATCTTATAGATATCTATAGGCTTGATACCTTGTCAGCCCTAAACATCCAATGTGTATATCCACAAAGCGAAGGTGCTCTCCTTCCTAACCATTGCATAACCTTCCAAGTCAGGAAAGCAACATTGATACAACACAAACTCCATTAAGATGTCACTTTGTGTCCCAACAATATCTTTTTTCCTTTTCTGATCCAAAATCCCATGTAGGAAATTATGTTGAATTTGATTGTCATGTATTTTAGTCTCCTTGAATCTGGAAAAATTTCTCAGTCTTGCCTTATTTTTCATGACCTTGACAGTTTAAAAAGAACAGGCTTTTCATTCCATAGGATGACCCTCAACTCAACTAGATCCCTTGTGGTTCCTCATGACTAGACTCAGGCCATATATTTGACAAGAGAAACATAGAAAGGAGGCTGCGCTTTTCTTTGCACCTTTCTGGGGACTCATGATGTCATGATATCAACTGTGATAAGAACTTTACTCGTCTGGTCATGTGGTCTTCTCTACCATAAAATCACATTATTTCCTTTATACATGGTAAATATTTTGTGGAGAGATATTCTGAGATTATGCTAATATTCTGTTCCTCACTTCACCTGCCAGTCTTACATCCATTAATTCCTGCCTGAATCACTTATCAGTGATGATGATCAAATGATGGTTTTCTTACTCCATCATTTCCTCTGTATTTAGTAGTTAACCTTCTAATGTAAAGAAGAGTTTTCCTTTCTATTCATTCATTCATTCAGCCATTCATTCCTTTACTTATTTGTTTCAAAATGGATTCATGGATTCCTACCTCATTCAGTGGGTTGTAATGTTTTGCTCTTGTTATTTGCTTTTGTGCTCAAAGGCCCCATATTTGGCAAGCGGGAATCCCCTCAGGCTGACGTTTTGTCCTGTTGGCATATCCCCATCATTCTATAAAAGCTTCCTTACTTTCTGATTCAACTAGCTGTTCTAGGTTCATTTTGTATTTTCCCTGCTTCCACTCTGGAATCAGAAATCAAGATCTGGATTCTCAGTGTGTTTCCTGCTACGGGGGTATCCTGGCACCTAGGTTTTTTCAAGCTGTAAGAGCTAAGAAATATCTCTTTCTTCATCTATCACTAAATATATTTTAAAACTGTGAGTTTATACTGATGCAGTCGATTCCAATCCAGCACCTCTGAGTACTTATAAGTGTTTTCCTGCTCTAGAGTTGTAAATCGCCCCTTTGACAGTGAAACTAGGTTCCCATTTTTTAAATATATATATTGACTTCAACATATATATAATTATTTGCTTGATCCCCTCTGTATTTAACAATCCCCTGACTACACTGGCTGCCTCTCTGGCCTGCTGCCTCTGCCACTCCTTATCCAGAGCTTCATCTATTTGGCTACCAACCAAATGTCATCTGCTTGGTACACTACTCTCCCCACATTGAATGGCATACATTCTTTACCATTCCAACCAAAATTCCAGAAGGAGCACAAAGAAGTCTTCCCAAATTTATAAAGAAGAATGAAGAATATCTATGTATAATTATGATGTCAATTTTTTAAAAAGTGTGTTAGATGTGGAGATATGGAGCATAGATCCTCCTCCAAAGAAGAACTCACTGCCCAGCTGCTGGGAGGGCAGCCACTATACAACCTCCAGCTCTCAGCTGCTTCAAGGTCAGCCTCACCTGCTGGGAACTGTCTTGCCCAAGGTCACATCCTTCGAGGGCTGCCAGGATATGGTGACTGAGGGCAAGTGGACTATAACAGACTGGCCATTTCAGCCTGATGCAGGAGACTCTGTTGATTCATAGTGTTTGTTCCAAAGTGCTTCACTGGATTGCCTGTGGCTTTATAAACCTGCATCAACCCGTGATTATCAACTTGCTTTATCAACCTGCAATTACTTCCTCTGCCCAATTCTGTTTCCTTCCCTTCCCTTTCACAGATGCTAATCTTTAATAAAACTTTTGCGTCCCAAAATCCACCTTACCTTCTGCTTCCAGACTATCTGAGGTGTGACAAGGAGAGATTCACTCTGCTAGGCTGGTGCTAGCGTTACTGCGGTACTAGCATGGAAGAGGGAGATCTTGGAGAGTAACGTCTGTGTAGCTTTGGTGTGGGGATAACTTTGTAAATCAGACCTGCCAAAAACATTATATATATATATAACATCAGAATTAACAATCTACAAATCTATATTTTATATATATATATA